AGGAAAAGCCCGAATCTTCATTTCCATGATCATCTCCTCGAGTGTCAACTTCTTCAAACAAATCAAAAATGATTTTTGAGTTTACTGATATCCGCTGCAATCCTCCGTTCCTGTGTTAAAAATGAATCTTATAAAAGTTGCAATTCTTATTCTATTAAATTATAAAATAAAATTATATTGCAGACAATGTAAAGGGCCAGTAAGCATCTAAACCGCAATAAAAATAAATCCTATTATAAGAACCATTGTGTAGGACTGAAAAAATTACAGCTAAATGATGATTTAGAAAACCTGCCTGCATATTCAAAAATATCTAGTTTTTTCTAACTCCTTTGTTTGCAAATGAATTCGAGCAAGGAATAATAAAATAATATATATAATATTAAATAAAAGAGCCGTGAAATGCAGCAGTAAAGAAGTTTGTACTTGCAGGGTTGGCGGACTCTGTGCTGCGGGCGTTGGAGGCCGCGCCGCGCTCCCGCTCAAGTCGCGGCACGAGGAAATTCATGCACATGGAAAACGGCAAATTCGTGTGCGATTTCTGCTCGCGCGCTTTCGCCAACAACGGCAACTGCTGGTCGCACATTCAAATGCACTTAGGCAACACGACCTGCTTCAAGTGCAACAAAGTCTTCAGCTACCGCAACACGCTGCAAAGACACTCTGCCCTTTTCCACCCCGAGACGAATTAATTTATATATATAAAAAAAAAATGAAAATAAAAATAGAAAAGTTCCAACTTGGTTATTGATAATTCTTGAGTAATAAATTAAATTCAAGTCTTATAACTTGTAATGAAATTCATTGTATGGTAAATAATACAAATTATTGAAATATAATCAACGGAAAAAATTGAGAATATGAATAAATTAAAATGAAAATTTCATCTCGCCAGTACTTTCAAAATAGGATGGTTTTTGGAGAGGAAATCAATAGAGCTGCAATCAAACTCCGATGTATTTTAATTGACTCGGCTTGATCATTGACTCTGAATGATTCAATTTATTTAAAATTACGCACAAAATATGACCAGTATGTTATAAAAATGTAGATCTTGTTTAAAATAAACTCGATGAAATCTTGAAACCACTAACAAATCGTGAAGTATAGCCGAATCATTAATTTTCACCCTGACAAAGCAAACAATCACTGAAAAAAATCATAATCATGGACCGCAGAGAGTTGGCTGTTGTTTTTCTCAAAGAGTGTGCTGGCTGCTTTTCAGGTTACGGCGCCAGCAGCAGTTTCGACCGGCATCAATTCGTGTCCGATCATGACGACGAGATCGAAGTGATCCCCCTAATCGCCTGTTACGGGGACGTGCAAAGCGAGTATGAGTCAGACTTGCAGTGCGAGTGGTGCGGCAAGGGTTATCGGCTGAAAAAGAGGCTGGAAAACCACATTCGCGACCACCACGGCGCCGAGTCTGGCGTCAAGTTTACGCCGCCCGAAGTAAAGTTTCCGCAGCGGGCGCGCCAGCACGACCTGGCCAAGAGCGCGCAGCTGACGTTGCGCGAGGGCGAAACGCTGTCGAGCAAGGTGATAAGGCGCGACGGCAAGTTCATCTGCAGCGTCTGCTTTAAGAGTTTCAATTTTAACGAGCCGTGCATCAACCACATCCACGTGCACCTGGGCAACACCAAGTGCAATGACTGCGGCCGCGTGCTCAGCAGCGTGGTCAGTCTCAGGCACCACATGAAGACGCACACCAAATGAGACGAATTTGACCAATTCCTCTAAATTCAATTCTTCCGAAATTATAAAATTTCGTCTCTTCTTATTGAAAGATGTATAAAAGATTTAAACCCAAAGCCAGATAGAACTGACTCGATTATAGTAGCGATTCTAACAAAAGTAAATTCTGACGAATAATATTAAATATTTAGAAATTTTAGGCTAAGTATTTTATTACTAACGAAGCGCAGTTGACCGAAGACTTGTCTTTAAGTGGCAGACTAAATATATAATTTATTAATTGGCAATTTTATTCGGATTTGTAGATATCTATTTTTCCTTTTATCAAGGTTGCAGATCTTGTAATTATTTATTTTCGTTTAATACATTTAAATTTTGTGAAAACTAAAAAAAATTCCTTTACAAATTTTGCAACCTCTGTATAAGTCTGCTATTATTTTAAATGATATTTGAAAGTAAATGTAATCAACTAATATTAACAATAAAGGAAAAAACATGCAGCTGATTCTGTGTTTTCAATTTATCTTGAGCACTGTGAGATTTTTTGCAAAATCTCTTTTAATTTTGGCACCGGAATTTGACCAAATCTCGTTTTTCGTGTCTCAGGGACTTCCGCCGGAGCAGCCACACGGGAAATTTGGCAACCGGGCGAATCAGAGACAGACCTAGACTTGGTGCGCTTACAAGATTCTTCTACCGCCTTTCTTGCTAATCTAAGACCAACTAGCCAAGAGTTGTTCCCCTGCCATTTGTGCAAAAAGCTGTTCAAGTATAAGAAAAATCTTTATTCCCACCTCCGAAAGCGGCAGCTCAAGGGCGAATGCCCAAGATGAATAAAATAAAAATTACAAAATGTCTTATCAACATCAACAGACCAAGAGCTATAAAAGTTTTATGCGAAATAAAGTAAATAAAGATTTCTTGTATTAAAAAAAAAACTACAATTGTTCTGAAAGAACTTCTTGTCTATTGAACATATCTGGCGATGTCATGATATTAAAAAAACTTTTAAGTAAACACTTTTCAATTTAATAATGAGATAATGGTTCTTTAAAGTGGTTGGAAATTTTCAAACAATGTCAATTTCAATGTGAAGACTTTGATAGATCTGTGTAAATAAAAAAATTTAGGGCAAAAGTTATAATTATAAACTTAAAAGTTTTCTCATAAATATGTTAAAAAACTAAATTGATATTAAAAGTTGCATCAGGATGTTGACTGCAAAATTTAAACTTTTTTAAAAGGAATTTCAGCTTCCCTTTAAACTAAGTCTAGTTTGTGCATTACAAGTTTTTTTTAATAACCCATGCTTATTTGAAAATGGTCAGAAAATGTCTCTTGTTGTTTGCTTAGTTGCTTTACTGAAAATAAAAATATCCTGAACTACAAACCAAAATTTAATTAGACAGTTCCCTTGAATTTGCCTCAAAATTTGTTTGGGTGTTTTAGTAACATGACAGCCCGTTTGAAAAATTAACTATTTTCCCAGGGATCTCGTCGGGAGACGTCGAAAACTGGCCCGCGGCACCCCTAAGCATGGCGCTGGTGTACGATTTGCCTCCACCAGGCGCCCCCCGACGTGCTGCAGGGCCCGATCTGTTCACGTGCGGGTTCTGCCTCTGCCAGTTCGGTTACAAGAGAAATCTCAATCGGCACCTGCGGATGCGCGCCAAAAACGGCGCGTGTCGCAAACGGGCAAACTAAACCGCGCACCCCATGTGTGGCTGTTGGATTTTTAAACGCAAGTTGGTCTGTTTTTGGATTGCAGGCTACCGACGGGCGCACTTCTTGCAATTGCAGCGGCAGCCGGACGACGGCGAGTTCGCGTGTCAGTTTTGCGCTCGCTCTTTCCGCACCAAGAGCAACTGCTGGTCGCATGAGCAGATGCACTTGGGCAACACCACGTGCCACAAGTGCAACAAAGTGTTCAGTTTTGTGCAGGCCCTCCACAGACACAACGCCACTGTGCACAACGTTTCCAAAAATAAACCATTTTGACGGTATTGAATAAAGAACAAAACTTACAAGTTTTAAAGGTTTGGTTAGTTTGGATCGGTAATGAAAACTAGAAGACCCAAATTGTTTTGGAACAAGTTGTATTTAAGCATACAATTGCATATTGGCAAGTCATTTTTAGATAAACTGAAAATAATTATGTTGATTTTATTTTGCACTGAAATATATTTATGACGGCACGATTTTCTATTTGACAGAATATTTTCTTTTGGAAAAAATATTTCCTCAGAGCTTTTTTTAATGAAATTGATACCACATATTGTACATCGAGATCAATCTTAAAAAAATAGGTAATCAAGCGTACTAAAGTCCAGAGATTTAAAATGAAGTCTGTAGATACAACAAAAATGAAAAATACAGCTTTTGCTTGAAAAGTCGAGAAAAATCCTTCTCACAAAATAAAAATTAGTTTTTCTTGGCATCGATGATTAACTTTGAAGATAAAAGTAAGGTTCAGCATTTATAAGTTGTTAATGCTTTTTAATAAAAAAAATAAAATTTTTACAAAAAATAGCGAGTTAAAATATGGTAGAAGAAATTCAATTGTGGTAGAAATTATGTTTCCCATGTTTTCCGCAGGAATTATTGAATTCACAAACGGGACATTGTAAATTTCATAAACAATTTAAGTTTATAATAAAAATTTTGAGTGGTTCAAATGTGCAATTGCATTTTTATGGACTGAACGTAGACCAGAGTATATAGGATCGAGTTGTTTGCATCTTCTTAAAAACGGCACTAGGGCGAACTCTGAAGTTTGAATGGAAGTGTGTTCTCTAATTCGCAGGCTATACTGCTTCCGTGTGGCCGCCGAGGGCGTCGCCGCCAATGCCCGATTCGGTCAGAACGCTGCTCACAATCAGACAAAAAACAAAAGCTCACGCATCGCAGCGGCCCAAGCGTTTCTTTTGCCCTGATTGCAAAGTTTCCTTCTCCAACGAGGCCAACTTCTCAGGCCACTACCGCATGCACCAGGGTGAGACCTCGTGCGCCATGTGCGGCACGTCGTTCTTTAACGAGGCCCTGCTGCAGCACCACATGGCCACTAAGCACCAGGACCTCACCACCTGCCCCAAGTGCCAAATGGTCTTCGGCAGTTTGCCCATCCTCGAAAAGCACAAAAAGAATTGCAACTAAATTTTTGTTGAAAATGAAAATCATCACACGAAAAATTTATCTTGAAGCGCAATAAATTTAAAGACACAACTTCTTTTTGGCTAAATTTCACTTTTTCCTAGAATTTGCAGTGAAAGGGCGGAATCATCATGACAGTGGAAAATTATTGTTTATTAATAAGAATGTTTTTATTGATTTAAAATTGACATAAACATAAAAACAACTGAAGAAAGTAAACGCAAATTACTTTTGACTTATTTCTGTGTGAAAATTTGAAACCATTAAATTTGGCTATTTCAGCATATCTAAAATTTTGCAAACTGGCGCGAGTTCGCAAATGAAGGAGCCTCTATTGACACACGGCGCGTCTTCAAGTTTTCCTTCTTGGAAAGTCCGTAAAGTGACGCAGCTGTTGTGCTCTTCGGAAAAGTCATTTGGCTCATTCACATCCCATGCAAAATCGCCGACCTTGCGTCCGTTAGCCCACATAAAAGTGCCAGGGGCGCTACCGACGTCGCTTCCAGACGTCCAAAACCAACCGGAACTGAACGCTACGTTTCAAACGATTAACAAAAGTACAGATAATTATAAAAAGATACATTTGATTGGCGCTGCTTCTCGGAGCATTTCCAATTCTTCCCCGGAGTCGATGGTGACCAGCCGCATGCCGTGCAATTCACAAATGCCCTTGGCATTGAGCCAGTTTGTCTAAAAATAATTTGTTATTATTTTAAATGAAAATTTACTATTATGGCAAGAATCACAGGAGGGAGGCCAAAGTAGTACTTTTCGCCGTTGGCCAACAATTGAACGTGCAGGTCTTTGCTTCTCCTGCAGCTGGAGGCCCTATTAGCAAATTCTTCAAAGTAATCCTACAAGATTATAAGTTATCGCCTGTTTTAATTGACTTAGTGAACCAAACTTCGTTAAAATCTCTTGATTTCGATTCTTTGTTCATTAAAGAATCGCTCAGTAATTTGACTGTGTCTTCCAAAGTGTTTCTAATTGCGGACAAATTATCTTCTAGCCTTAATTGGAACCTAAAACAGCTGAATTAAAACATTGGAAAGACTTAAATAATATTTTATACCTGGATGAAAACGTGTCGAGTTTTTCACTCACAACATTGGCCCGAATAAAGCACACGTCATCAATATCCTCACTCTGCTCAAAGTGTTCATTTTCTATTATTTAACAGAGTGCAACTAAAAAATTTTTAATTAAATTAAAATACCTCCAAAGAACAAGTTTCTGAGCAAAGAAGTAATGTGAGAAACAAAAGTGCTCCGACGCGTTCCATGTTGAATGACATTTTAGAATCAACTGAAGTCTACAGACGGGTTTCTTTATAAAATTATATTTATGTGCAGAGAATTCATGTGGTTCTCCATGTCCGCAAGCAAACCATTCGCTTCACTGAACGTGACCTCCAGCATCCATCTTTCACTTAAAATTCCACTTTATTGCAATGTAAACGTGGCATCAATGTTACCGAAATTGATATTTAATTATATGTAGTAATTATATAATATGTGGGAGTTTTTTCCTAATTATTTATTTATTTATTATCTCTCAAAAATATCTAGTTAGTTACATTTTTTTTTTCATTTTCTTGGATGTTATAAAATTGTCATATCGACACCAACTAAATCAATTTTTGTTAAAGACTCCTCTCAAGATCTTTATAAATTTTCTGCAGGAATTGAGGATTTTGACTTGCTTGCGCCCAACTCGTTTGCTTTGAAGGCGTCGGTGATGCAGCTAAGTGACAACGCTGGTTTCCAGTGCACGGCGTGTGGCAAAATTTACTCCGGCCTCAACGCCAAAGGGATTTGCAATATGCATGTAAAGAAGCACTATGGTCCCAGTGTATGCAAAGTGTGCGGCAAAAGTTACACGTTCCCCGGTGCTCTGAAACAACACATGGAAATGCACAAAGGCAGAACCAAATGTTCCAAATGCAAAAAGGTTTTCAGCTGCAAACAATCTCTCAAAAGACACTTGAAGAAAAATTGTTAAATTAAAGAGCAAGGAACTTGCAAAATAAACAAAATACAAAATATACCTCGAAAGAACACGTTTCTTGAGTAAAAATATCTAGTTAGTTCTATTTTTTTTAATTCTCTTGGATGTTTCAAAATTGTCATTTCGACACTAACTAAATCGATTTTTGTTTAAGAATCCTCTCAAAATCTTTGTAAATTTTCTGCAGGAATTGAGGATTTTGACATGCTTGCGACCAACTCGTTGGATCCGAAGGTGTCGGTGATGCAGCTAAGTGACAACGCTGGTTTCCAGTGCTCGGCATGCGGCAAAATTTACACAGGCATACGCGCGAAATGGAATTGCACTAAGCACATAAAAGCGCATTACGGTCCCTGCGTGTGCAACGTGTGCGGCAAAAGCTACACGTTTATCGGTGCTCTGAGACATCACATGGAACTGCACGAAGGCGAAACTGAATGTTTCAAATGCGGAAAAGTTTTAAGCTGCAAACAATCTCTCAAACGACACTTGAAGAAAAGTTGCTAAAGTAGAGAGTAAGGAACTTGCAAAATAAACAACATACAAAATGATTCGGATGTGTAAAAATCTTCAACTGTTAACTATTCTTTTTTTTAATAAATCAGTTTGATCGGATGGAAAACATAACTGCATGAAATCGCTTACTTCTAATGCAACATCTAAAAAAGCTCTTGTAAATGTCATCATCAAAAAATTCTCGGACGATGAAAGTGAAACATTATTTAAATCCTCAATTCCGAGGTTAAAATATTTTAGCAATTGGAATTCCATTGATCTACACAAGTCTTTAATATTTTTTTTTTGCTGCGCAAGATGCTCAAAAATTTTAATGCATTTTAGTTTGGTTGAAGCGCAAGACAGTGAAAGAATAATTCCTTAAGTTTTAAGAAAGTTTTTCTCTTAAAACAGTGGCCCGATTAATGAAAACCATAAATATCCTCGCTCTGCACAAACTGATGAGATAAAAAAATTAAAATCTCTAAAAAACAATTTACTGAGTGACGAAGTAATGTCAGAAACAAAAGAGATGGATATAATTATCCATGCACAAATAATTCTCGTGATTCTCCTTATCAGCAAAAAACCAGTCGCTTCACTGGACATGACCTGCATTTGTGATGACAAAACCCATGATCTTATATGTAAGATCAATGAAGAAAAAAACAATATTTTATTTAATTTAAGATAATCATTATTTCAATAGGAATTTAAATTAATTAAATTCTTCTCTTCTGTGTGGTTCCAACTCGTCATTAGAAACAGCATCTAGTTAAATTGATTAATCCAATATCTTACTAAATTTTCCTCCTCAGGACTTGAGGACACGCTTGCAGTCAATCTGAATGCATCGGTGATGCACCTGAGCAACCGCGCCGGTTTCCAGTGCACGGCGTGCGGCAAAATTTTCAGCGGCAAATGGATTTGCACTGAGCACGTAAAAACACACTACGGTCCTTGTGTGTGCGAAGTGTGCGGCAAAAATTACGCATACGCCAGTAATCTGAAACAGCACATGGAAATGCACAAAGGCACAACTAGATGTTCCAAATGCGGAAAGGTTTTTAGCAGCAAACATTCACTGAAAAAACACGCCAAGAAAAACATTTGCTAGAGTAGAGAGTACAGAACTTGTAAAATAAACAACATACAAAAAGATTTGAAAGTGTAAGAGCGTCAACTGTTGGCCATTTTTCCGATTATTGGAAAACTTACAACGGAGTGAAATTGCTTAAACATCTTATTCAAGAAACCTTCAGAAAAGCTCCTGAAAACACAATTATCTGAAAATACAAAAATGATTAAAATTTAGAAGTAATGTAAATACTTAATCCTGTTTGGAATGCAATACAATTGAAATTAAAATCAGCTAATAAAGATTTGAACATTTTACTGCACAAGACTATTAAAAAATGTCATTAAACAAAAGCATGGGTGTAAAAGCTAAATTCTGTCAAGTCTAATTAAAAAAATTAAACATTTTCCAAAATTTCTTTAATTATTTTCACAGGCTCTGAAGAATTTGGAATTAAGGAACTGATAGATGACAAACTGCTATCAACGTTGGTTGTGGAGCTAAGCAACAATTGCTTCCAGTGTTCTCTGTGCAGTAAATGCTTCTATGGTAAAAAATCGCTATGCAAGTACCACATTCAAACTCATTTTGGTCCATGCGTTTGCAAATTGTGTGGCAAAGGCTACAAGTACCCTTGTGATCTAGAAAAGCACATGTTAGTGCACAAGGGCCTCACTGAATGTTCAAGTTGTGGAAAGGTTTACAGCAGCCTGCGAGCGCTCATGAAACATAAACAAACAAAAGGGGGGAGACCAAGACCCTGTAACGGAAAGAACGCCAAAATTCGCAATTAGTAAATTTGTCAAGTTTTCAATTGTAGAAAATAAAAGCAAAATTATACTTCGATAAAAACTTGTCCAATTTTTTCACTCAATACATTTGCCTCGATAAAGCACACATAATCAATATCCTCACTTTGCTCAAAATATTCATTCCATTATTTAAATGCAACTTGATACTTTTCAATAATAAAAATACCTTCAAAGAACACGCTTCTGACTGATTAAAAAAAAATAATGTGAGAAACGAAAGTGCTCATTGAAAATTAAGAAACAACCAAAGCCTGAAGACGGGTTTCTAATCTAATAATAGAACAAAGAGCTCACGTGATTCTCTTCATCCGCAAGAAAACTAGTCGCTTTATTGGACATGACCGAATTTAATACGTACTCAAAAGTCTTCTTCAGTTGCGATGCCAATGTGGCAAAAAAATTTGTTTGCAATCGATATTCATTCAATCATCTCAATGGCAATATAGGAATTTTTATTAATTATTCTTGTGAAATGAAAATCATTGAAGTTTAAAAATAAATTTTTTAACTTTCTGGCTAAAATTTTCATTACAAACAGCATCTAGATAAATTTTTTGTTAATTTGTAAAATAATCGTCCAATATCTTAGTAAATTTTCTCTCTGCAGGACTTGGTGATTTTGACTTGCTTGCGCCCAACTCATTTGCTCCGAAGGCGTCGGTGATGCAGCTGAGCAACAACGCTGGTTTTCAGTGCACGGCGTGCGGCAAAATTTGCACTGGCCGCAGCGCTAGAGGGAATTGCAATATTCACGTAAAAGCGCACTATGGTCCCAGTGTGTGCAAAGTGTGCGGCAAAAGTTACGCATTTGCCCACACTCTGAAGTTACACATGCATTTGCATGAAGGCAAAACCAAATGTTCTAAATGTGGGAAGGTTTTCAGCAGCAAAGAAACGCTCATCAGACATGAGGCGAAAAATATTTGTAAATCAAAGTTTGAAAAATAAATCAATTTCAAATGGATAAGAACTGAATGAAATCATCTTCTTCTTTTTCAACAGTATTTTTCCAATGCAAGAAAGGTCAAAGGAAAACATATTATTTAATTTTGTGCCGCGGGAAAATAATAATTTTTTTTTATTTTAAATAAAAAAATTAAATAAAAAATCATTAAAAATAAAATTGATTCTGCTAAAAAAACGTTTTACTGCACTAGAACAAGAGGCTCAAAACATTTCACATTTCTGTACTGATGGAGGCGCGAGTCAGTGAAAGTTAAATTCTGTCAGTTTAATTAAAAGAGAAATAAACTTTCAAAATTTTCTTTTATTATTTTCGCAGGATTTGAAGAATTTGGAATTGGGGATCTGATAGACAACAAACTGATATCGACGTTGATGGTAAAAATGAGAGACCAATGCTTCCAGTGCAAAATTTGCAGCAAACGTTTCACTGGACGCTATCCCAAACTCTGTTGCAAGAACCACATTCAAACGCACTTTGGTCCATGCGTTTGCAAATTGTGTGGAAAAAGTTACAAGTACCGAAATGACCTTGAGAAACACATGGCGCTTCACAAGGGTCTAACTAAATGTTCAAGATGCGGAAAGGTTTTCAGCAACTTGCGAGTGCTCATGAGACACAAAAAATCAAAAACATGTGTAACAGGATCCTGTAACAAAAAGAACAAGAACGCCAAGAATTGACATTAAGTTAATATTTAAGCTGCTGTTCTGTTTTCATTGCAGAATAAAGAAATAAAATTGTACTCTTCTAAATAAAATTTGAAATTGAGAAATTCGCATATTATGTATGTACTTTACTGAATGTGACATCCATAAAAGTTCTTGCAAACTTATCTGCTTTTAGGAGAACAAAATGGAGTCATCCTTTAAAAAAATCTTAATTTAGCTTCTTAAAATGACAATTTAGGTGCAGATTTGAAAAATGCGGTGCACACATTATTCTGAAATGACAATACATTCATTTTCTTTTCTTTAATTTGTCAAATTGCAAAGCAATATAGGAATTTGAGCATTCTGATTTAGCGAGTGTTGATTGGCACTTGTCAGAAATACAGGAAAAACGGAAAAAGACTTGCTTCATTAAGAGAATACAAGAAAAAAAATTAAGAGATGGACAAAGTATTGCAGCGGCTGCAGTACT